CATACAAATTTTAAGGCCTTTATTGCGTTCTTTTTTGGTGCTTATTGTTTTGGTTACTTTTTTTATAGTGACCTGGTGACACATCCTTATCTAGAACCAAGTATGGTTTAAGAATAAGGCAGTCATGGCTGCCTCTTTCAATGTCCCCAGACGCTTAAACATTTAAGATGTCGAAGTTTGACAAATTAATTTAACTTTGAGTCTCATTTAATTTTTTGAGACCAACTGTGCTGCGATTAAAATAATTCACGATTACTTTGATAGCTTAACGCGTATCTACTAGTTTATTTTAACCCATTATACTTATACACATACTTAAAGTTAGGATGGGTAAAGCAAGGTAAATGACACCAGTGTCCAAGCTTAACTGCTCCCACTATAGCGGCGTTATACTACATCTTCAATACACCAATCAGTAGAAACTTTGTTGAGAAACAAGGTGAGCTGTTACCGCCATATAACTCTCATTGTCGCTGAAGAAATAGCTTATTTTATATTACCTCACACTTGGCCTTTAGATCACCGACGCGTCGGTTTGTTTTAACTATCCTTAGTCTAAGGGTACAACATCCAGTCTCTGGTGCACTTTCGAAAAAAGGTTGTTTGCGTTGATTAGCATTGGGCATCACAGGCTCATCTAAAAAATAAAGATTATTTTACGTTTGAGAAGTACTATAATGTTTACTGGCTATACCTTAATAAATCTTGAAACTAAGCATAAAAAAGGATAGAAATGTTCAGTTAAAGAATTACAAACTAAAAATTTTTGACAAAAAAAATTTTATTTAGTCGAATGTTTATTAAATTTTATGTGTTGAAGGTGCGACCGTTACAACTTTTTTACCTCGTTAAGAGGTGTTTTTGTTTGATATAAGAAGTTTTTGTTTGAAATATTGTCAAAGTACCCCAAAATTGTGAACATGGTTTTCACAAAAAAAAAACGTTTTCCTATATATCAGTACTAATTTTTTTTTTTAAAACTACTTTTGGCAAGACTTTAAAGCTCAACTGACAAGACCCTTGCAACTATTCCAAAAATTAAAATTTTTTACGACATCAATATTTTCATTTTTATGCTGTTATGTTTTACAATCAGCTATTTGATATTGTGGTCTGACTTAAATAAAATTTGAACCGTAATTCTGAAACAACCCTGCAGTTCCAATCCCTAAAGATTCCCTAAGTAATCCCCCGGGCGCCGCCAAGAATTCCTTAAGAATCCCGGGGAATTCTCCATACAAAACGGAAATGAATTTGTATGAAGCAGGCCTTTCCGGCGAGTAATTCGAAGATTGGGAGGAATCCAGAAGGAATTGCTCGGGAATTCCTTGGTAATTCCTGAGGAATTTCGAAATAAATCCGTGGGACTTTTTGATCGAATTCCCCCCGGAATCTCTCAGGAATATGGAACTTACTACGTAGGCAAATTTGCAAGGAATTCCTGAGGAAAATACTAAAAAGTCCCCATGAATTTCTGGGGAAAATTGCAATGAATTCCTCCGGAAATCCTAATGAAAATCCCTGGGAATTTCTTGGGAATTCCTGGGGAAAACTGCATGCAATCCTTGCCGAATTCCTAAGGAAAATCTTCAGGAATTCCTGAGGAACAGTCAAGGAAATTCTCTCAGGAATCCTAACGGAAATCATAGTAAAAAAACATCTGAAATTCAATTTATAAACATTTATTAAAATTATTGTTTTAATATATATTGTTTTAAATATAGGATAATGCGTGCGCAAGGGCCTTTTCAGCCGGCAGCTGGCCTCCCAACGCAGGTATGCTGTCTGTAAACAAAACAGATATGTATATTAGAATAAAATAAAAAATCTGATACATTTTACTCAATTATACATACCGACTATAACTTAAAAAAATCCTGGAAAGCCCTTAAGGGCCTTTCTTCCATTCACGCCGTCTATATTAAAGTCGCAAAGACTTTAATAGACTTAGGCAAATTATTTCGCCTAAGAATTGCGTTGATGGTCTCAATCTGTAGAAAAAACACAGAGTTAATTGCACACTCATCTTCTTCATCTTCTTACATAGGCGGTTTTAGTAGACAAGCATATTTTAACTTCTAACGCAATCAGCTCCTCCTCACTTTCGATCGGGAAGGAATTAGGTACCTCTGCATCATCGGACTTTCCCTTAAGGAAAATCTGCAGCATGGTCGTCAGCTAATACGTTTTTGCTGCGCTTAGACACTGTATTTCAAATGTGCAAATATATTTATTTATATATTGTTTATTTATTTAAATGTATGCACTTACCTGATTAATTAATACTTGCCTAAAATTTTCACTTTTAAAAACACTTCCTCACTCTGTTGCAGTCGAATTCAAGTGCAAAGGGAATGGGGAGAACGAAAAACGAAACCGAAATTTCTGCCTGACGCGTGCCAGGGTATATCCGTCCATAACAATGCCTTGTAGTTAAAATCACATAAGGCAGATAATCAAATATTAACATTTTGGCGTATATTGCAACTTTACAATAACTTCCAAAATGTTATATCATCCTAAAAATTAATAAATATACTAGCGCTTCTAAAAAAGGGTATTCAAAAGTCTACACAGTTCCTTTTGTTCTTGACATTTTGATTTTTTTCTCAGTTTTCTCTCCGTCCAACCCTCTCCCTTTTTCAGTCGCTGCTCCGAATTACTTCGAAATAAACAACAACAAAAAAGTTCGAACTTCGGCAGTGGCAGAAGTGCCGACAGAATTTTGTCAGCCTGCTTTGTTTTGAACTTCGCTAGATGAAGCCCATGTGATTTGTTTTTGTTTTTCGAACATGCCGGTCAGGAAAAGGCAGGGAAGGGAATTTCAGAACTACAGGGAATAAAACAGTACTTTGTAGCGAAGTATATTCAAATCAACTGAAAACCAGCCAAATAATAACTGTTTCATATTTTTCCCCGCTTGTTCAGATATGATATAGTCGTCCGATCCGGCTCGTTTCAACTTCTACTTATAGTTTTAAAACTGATGGGTTAGTTTGCCTAAAAACGAGTGGATATACAATCGGACACGGCAAGATCGACTCTCGTAATGTTGCTGTTTGGGTAAGGAATGTTCCCTTCTGACTGATATTATAGTACCATTTGTAAGGATATAAAAATTAACGAGAAAGTTATCAGGGTCTATAGAACATTAAAATTTGAATAACTTCGTTGTTTTTAAGATATTTGTTTACATCTTGCTCATTTATTTTGCCAAGTATATGATTTTAAATTAAGATTAGTTTTAAATTAAAATTTTAAGCAATAATTCATATTTTACAATTATTTAATGAAAATGTTTCTTCCTTTAACCTGAAACCATTTTTTATAGCATTTGCCGTAGTAGCCGTTTTCGTTGCTTAATAACTTTCTTAAACATTCATTCATTGTTATAAACCAAAAGTTGAGAAATAATAAGGGCTATAAACGTAAAAAATTAAACAAAAATCGACTCTCAATTTTTTTAAAAATTTGCAAAAAAGTAAAAAAAAAATAAATATTAAATAATTTTTAATGTATTTTATTAAGACCTATTATGTTAGGGCTTCGTGATTAGCATTTGACAATACCTTTTTAATGTCATATTTCACTTGTCTAAAGCTTTACTTGTTTAGAAGTAAAAGCCGTGCAAAGATTAGCTGGTTTTTCAAAAAGTCTTGAAACAAACTTTTTGTAATGACCTGCCCAGCACAAAAAAATATTCCACTATTCTAAAACAAGTCCTTAAAATTTGTTGAAATTGAAAAACGATGAAGAAAACTTTTTGTATTTTTTAATATACAAAAAAAGTAGTTTTTTAATAACTTTTGAACGGATTTTCTGTCATTCGTCGCGTATGTTGAATTAATTTTTAACTGTTCTAAAAAAGTGTAACAGTTTACCATCCCAAGCTCAGGAACTCAATTTAAATCAATTTTCCTCAACCAATCAATTTTCTTAAAGTCTTGGTATGCAATTCTTCTTCATTTAGCGATCGGACCATCACAGCAGATTTTCAATTCTGCGGCTATATAAAAATAGTCTACATCTACTTTCGTCCATAGTGATATGGTTCTATCTCTAACAACTACCAAAACCGCAAAACATCGAGAACAGCTCATAGACTGCCGAACTGGGCAAAATTTATAAAATTAAAATAGAGATATCCTTAGTGTGCTGGCTTTTCAAATTGATTTTAAAAATAAAAGTATCCTGTTCTAATTTTTAGATAAAAAATATCATTTTGTGTCAATTTTTATAAAAAAATTTTTAACCAGTTTTTTTTTTATTTGGGAACGGATTTAGTTGGATGAGGTGGGGTGATATGATCTGTTTGATGGATACCCTATCTGCGTCATATAGAAAGGTTAATGCAAAAAGGGAATGGTTTAGTTTAGCGGCGGCCTATAACCCAAAATCGCTAGATTGTTTTTACTTGTAGAGTAAAAGGTTATTTTTATATTGAAAAGTGGGTAGCTAGAGAATTGCTGCTGATTTAGTAAATCCTACGCTGAGCAGGATTCAAAACCGTGCCACGCTCGCTCTAACGCTAATAAATCAAGAAATTGTTCTTAGACACGTACCTCTTTTAGGCAATAAATGTTTATTCGGTGCTTATAGATCGACAAACCATTATTTTATATTACTATTATTTGAAAAACGGAGTTTGTGCATGAAGGTCAACATTACTATGAACGCTCGCAAATAATAACAAACTAATTTTCACGGCGAAACGTTGGTGTTCCGAAGGCGGATATTTGACTGGACCGCTATTTCTTCACATTCACACGGAGAACTTTAAAATTCGATTACAACAGAACCGTGGCCGACCTCCACGAAAATTCTAAACAAATCGCGGTACATGGGGGTTAACTATTTCGTGGTATAGTCCGCTATACTGGACAGTTACCGCACAGCTGAAATGATATAGTGCTTATTAAGATAAAAAATAACCAGAAAAATGTTTTTTCAGAAAGCGAACTGAAATATAAATAAAACGGTTTTACTCTACATACTTGCAGAAGGTTTCCTCTCGCGACGAAGATATTGTACCCAATCAACGTCTCGATCCACCGTCACAGCTAATTCATCCTCATCGAAATCGGTTTCCACAGACACACCTGTAGGTGTAAAACTGAGTTCAAAGGAGCAACTAAAGCGGGCTTTTAAGGAATATGGAGTTTCCATTGTGGCCTTCCACGTAGGAATATCGATGATTTCGCTTGTGTGTTCTTATGTACTCATATCTAGGTAAGGTGCTTAAAAAGCTCATTTTCATCTTTCTGACTACATTATAATCAACAAGCAAAACTATAATTTTCATTTAACTATTTTTACGCTATTTTTTCTTTCAGTGGAGTAAACTTGGTTCCCGTTCTGGAATATCTTGGAATAGGGTCACCTGCAATAGCGGAAAAAGTTGCCACAGGGAGCACCTTTGTTGTTGCCTACGCCGTACACAAAGTATTTGCACCTGCAAGAATTACCATCACGTTGGGTGCCATACCGTTTTTAATACGATATTTAAGATCGAAAGGATTCCAAATGCCTAAAAGCAAAAACCCTTAGCCATCATATTATTGTTATCAAAATTATATATGTATAATGCTATATATCAATCCTTCATGAAATACTTGGTTTATTAATAAAATGGTTAATTGGTTCCGTTTCATTTTCAAAATGTTCTCTTGAACTTTAAAGGGTCTATGCTGAAACCCCGTTGTCAGATTAAAAATTAGCCTAATGAAATGTATTAGTGTAATAATGGGGTATGCCCGTACTTTTCATGCTGAAAATTTTGTTAAGCTATGAAGTGTTGAGGTGGGAAATAGAAAATTCCAAATAATCTAATCTGATCGGTACGCTTCGGTCTATTTTGGGAGCAATAAGTTCAGGAGAGACGAATACTAGCCATAAAACTTTATTTTTATTTATTTATTTAATTTGCATCCTAGCACTACGAGTAATTAAACTCTTAGTTTAATGTGATAGTCACTTGGTGTTATGATACGTAGTTACAATATTCTTATTCCAAATTACAATTTGCGTTAAAATTGAGTTAAGTTAGAAAGAGTTTGTGGTAAAGTGTGCTGTTAGGCAAAATTTGTATGTTTGGGCGCTTTTTATTGATTTTATGGGGTGATTCCAGAGACGAGCAGAATTTACAAAAAAGTGATTTGCTGAACTGGACAACTTGGTCTGGTTTACAATTAGATTATTAGTTCTTTGAGAAAACAGGTACGACGGTTCCCTAGTTACAGACTTAAAATCCAAATTTTAAATTTTATTTGCGAATTCAGAAACATGGTCACGGGGTCTCAGCTTAAATACATATCGTGCGATGTTATTAAATGCTACATTCATTTTTCAAAAGCTAGTAGCATCATAACTACCAAAAACTTCTACGTCATGCAAAAGAGATGGAGTCAGATAGGTCTTTGCGACTAATAATCTAATTTCAGTAGGAAGATACATTGAGTATTCTTAAAAGACCGTACGTTTTCCCTACTGCTCTGTTTATTTGGTAGTTCCAGTTATTGTTGAATGTGAAGCCCAGGTTAGTTGCGTTGTCGACATAGGGAAGTGTCGTGTGTTTAATTCGAACAGGTTGTACATCCTCTGTTTTAATTTTCTTCTTGTAAATCATGATGCATTTTGTCTTCTTGGGATTTAAGGATAGACCATTAGCACTTGCCCACTGACTAATGCTTTGAAGGTCAGAGTTACAAACACGGACACAGTCATTAATACGACAAAGAGCACTACTAACGTAATTAAATTAAATAAGTTCGTCAATTTAAGGCCGAGAATTGCATGGTTTACAGTATCGAACGCTTTGCTAAAATCAAGAAGTGTTAAGAGTGTTATAGATTTTTTTTCCTGATATCCTCTGAAATCTTTATTATGGCTGATTGTACATTGTACATTAAATTGTTTTGCTGGAGAAATTGTTTTGTCTGGGATGCCAATATTTGCTCAAAAGCTTTAGAGAGATATGAAAGAATTGCTATAGGCCTATATTTAATACTAGTTTCGCGTTCAACTTGTGTGACTGCTGTAGGATTCGGCTGATTTATTTGCGATAATAACTTGTGTAAAAAATGCGACGACGAAAGGAAGTGGTTTCGATGGAGTTCATATGATCACTTAATTTAATATTCCAATAATTTCTCTTAGAACCTAACTTATGCTAAGGTGGCGTGAGACGGGGTGAGTGCGCAAGATCGAAGGGACGAAAGCTTTATTGGCTCCAGCACTCGCCCTACAACTAGTGACTTCAATTTAAATAAAAGCGCCAAGTGCGCAAACACCGCCCTCTCTGAAGGGACGACTTCCTGCAGTCCAGAACGGGCAACAGGGCCAGTCGGTGGACTGCTCGCCGATACTTCCCCTCCACGGCCTATCCTCAACTGCTGGGGCGGAAGGTTGCTTTCGGCGACGACGGCGAGCGCTCCCACGACGGTGTTTGGCTCCCCCTGGTGCCACTTGGACCGCTGCTGGAGGCTGGAGATGTACTCCCGGGACCATCGCTGCCAAAACCTATGCCTGAGAGACGAGACACCTCGCCATCGTCGCAAGCAGGACAGGCTGATCTGGTCCGGGAGCGCCGCTGATGGTGGGGCCAGAAGAGGGCCGCCGATGCCCGGGGTCAGGGCTTCGACGTCGTTAGGGTCGCTGCTTAGAGCTCCGAGGGGCCTGGAGTTGAGCACGGCCTCTACGCTGGTGAGGAGAGTTCCGAGCTCCTCCGCGGTCAAGAGGTCTTGGCCAATCGTCCGAAGGAGCAGGTGCTTTGCAGACTTCACACCTGCCTCCCATAGTCCGCCGAAGTGTGGTGCTCTGGGCGGTATGAACGCAAACTCGCATCCTTCTTTTGATGCGAATGTTTTAATACCGCCCCCTGCTCCTCCAGACGGGCTTGGAACTCCCTCTTGTGCCGATCTACGCCGACAAAGTTGGTGGCGTTGTCGCACCCCACTTCTCCGGAATCCCGCGACGACTCACGAACCTTTGAAATGCCAAGAAGAACGCATCAGTGGTTAGGTCAGTCACTAATTCTAAGTGGACCGCTTTGGACGCGAAACAGACGAAGAAGGCCACGTGCGACTTGTACGGTGGCTTACCACGGATACGATACGTTGTGTTGAAGGGACCACAACGCCACAAATATTGAACGGGCGGAGAGCTCAAAGTCTGTCTGCTGGCAAGTTACCCATAATTTGCGTTAAGAGTTTTGGCTTGCAACGAAAGCAGCGCATGCACGACCGAACTCTTCGTCAGCAGACTTCTTGAGCATTAACTAGCCATATTTTTTAGCGCAGACGACTTACAAGAGCCAGCCAGCGTGACAATTCGTAACGTGCAGGTATGACATATAAGATCTGACGAACTGTGAGCTTTTAGACAGCAACAACGGAAATTTGGCTTCGTACGGGATAGGAGCATTCAATAACTGACCCCCAACTCGTAGCAATGTCGAGGAACATCAATCGAGTTTATTTTCCTGAAAGAAAGGGTCCAACTTTTAAATATTCCTTGCTACCGGTTTATTTTCCGAATTTTTCTTATGTCGTCCCTGAATTCGTGAAATTGGATATCTTCATCAATTTATTCAAAAACGAAATCTAGTTCTCTTGGCGAAATAAGTTTTTTAAAGGGATTTGACACCTTTCTGCATCTTTGAATAAACGGAAAACCCACACGAACACTCTCAGAAGCTTCAGGTGCGACGAAAAGGACTCTATTTTCTGAAACAAATAACTTGGCTCTGTGCTGACTACGACATCGACACTACATCAGCCGGCAGTTCGAAATGTCTATTTACAGGCCAATTATTTTCTGAGACTAGCAAGAACGAAGGACCCCCGAACCAAATGGACGTTGTAAGCTCCTGTAAGTCACTTCCTCGGGACACTATGTGTGCTGGGTTGACTTTCGTGGGAACGTGTCTCCAAATTGCTTTCTCCACCCCTCCTGAATTTCTGCAACCCGGTTCGTAACAAAAACCGACAACGACGACGGATGGGTTTTGATTCAGTGTATAGAGTCTTGGAGTCTGTCCACAGGAAATAATTTTCAATGGGACTATTAGGCAATGGCCTGACACTATTTTGGAGATCTGCTAAAAGGTGAGCTGCACACAGCTCAAGGCGAGGCAATGTTTTCGTCTTGAAGAGAGCTACTTTCGATTTGGCGGTCAATAAACACACTTTCAATCTTTCGGCAGTTTCAGTACGAACGTAGATGCACGCTCCATACGCTCTCATGAAAGTGTCAGCGAAACCATGTATTTGAATCGAGACTTGTGGATCTGTGTGAACGAATCGCGATACATTTATTTTCGGTGGTTGCAGAAGCGTCGCGTTTAACGTCTCCCACAATGTAAGCAACTTTATCGATAGCGATTCGTCCGAATTTAATTTTCGAAGCCGCAGTTCATGCAACAACATCTTTGCCTTTATGACCAAAGGGGACAAGTGGGTCGAGCAGTCACCGATAAATTATTTAGCTTTGTCGCGCGAATATCCAGGAAAGAGTCATCCAACCGAAATTAAAAGTTATCCTTGACGGTAACCAAACCACGCCAATGGTCTTTGTTACGTCTTAGTCTGCCATAAGTAGCATTACAGCGCTATCAGATGCGGAAAACCACTCTGCCAATTCAAAACCTGCCTCTTGCAAGACCTGAGAACCTTCGTCTTAAAGTCGTTGGAGGCCCTGAACGCATCCGGCGCCAGTCAACAAACCGTTACCCTAAAAATCATTCTGAATAACCTTAGCGGCTTTTGGATGAGTTGCTTGCGCCAGTTCTCCTAGCCGCATTAAACACCAAATCGCCAAAAAGGGTGCTGGCGAAGTTTCATATGTAACTGTGTTCAACTTAAAGATTTTCAGGGACTCAGAAGGATCTCGTCTCCATACTATGAGCTGGAAGTTACGATCAGCTTTGTCCACCATCACTTGGCGATACATCTTTTTGACGTCGGCCGCAAGGGCAAACTTATGCAATCTAAACCGAAGCAGAGTCGAGTACAGCTCCTCTTGGATAGTTGGGCCTACAATCAAGATGTCAGTACGCCACGATGCATAAAAAACTGCTCTCAACTTAGTTGAAGTACTCTGTGGCCGTAGAACGCATTGGTCCGGAATGAAATAGGGCGGAGTATTCAGAATTTTGTCATTGGTGGAGGACATGTGGCCACGGGGTCTCAGCTTAAATACATATCGTGCGATGTTATTAAATGCTACATTCATTTTTCAAAAGCTAGTAGCATCATAACTACCAAAAACTTCTACGTCATGCAAAAGAGATGGAGTCAGATAGGTCTTTGCGACTTATAATCTTATTTCAGTAGGAAGATACATTGAGTATTCTTAAAAGACCGTACGTTTTCCCTACTGCTCTGTTTATTTGGTAGTTCCAGTTATTGTTGAATGTTAAGCCCAGGTTAGTTGCGTTGTCGACATAGGGAAGTGTCGTGTGTTTAATTCGAACAGGTTGTACATCCTCTGTTTTAATTTTCTTCTTGTAAATCATGATGCATTTTGTCTTCTTGGGATTTAAGGATAGACCATTAGCACTTGCCCACTGACTAATGCTTTGAAGGTCAGAGTTACAAACACGGACACAGTCATTAATACGACAAAGAGCACTACTAACGTAATTAAATTAAATAAGTTCGT